GCCCAGGGAAAAACCTGTGGGAAAAGACTGCAAGGCAGTCAGAAGAACCCCCTGAAGAATTCTTCTTCTCTACTTAGTCTGTGCCTTTTACTGTCACTTCTGCTGTTAGTCTATTCTAGGGTTAATATGAAACCAGAATTGCCCCAAGTTTCCCCCTCATCCTCCAAAATGGAATGTACCTAAATATCATGCCCATCCCCTCAATCAGATGTTGTCTAATGAATATTTGTAGCAATTAGCAAAATTGGAGACAGTCCTGTATTCATGGGGTCTATAAGATACCTATAATTCATTTTTGCTGTACGGGTCTAATTGCCAGTAAGAATACATATTATGCCATAAGCAGAGACAAAAACAAGACTTACTAGTTTTGGAGGACTTTCTCAGAAAAGTGTTAGAGAAATAGTTGTCTGCTGATCTCAAACCTGAAGGCAACTTATGGATTGTTCTGGCCAAAGAATGAGATCGGTAAATGCAGAGACCAAATTCTAGTTGATCCACATAAAACATTTCCATATGACATCTATGATAAATATTGACATTGTTCTTTCATAGTAAGGGGTTGTGAGAGTCTATTACTTGTACCGCAGGTACAATTATATCCTGTTTTTGTATGCCTGCTGAATGTAAACAATTAAAGGGCACTGTGTTCTCATGTATTCTGGCAATATGCTTCACTTATCCTTAGATACCCTTCCATATGTAGTAAAGAATATGTAGAACTTTGTTATGACTACCTGGTTAAATTTTATTGGTTGAAGTGGAAATCATGTATTGCGAAATCACTGAAATCACTGCCAAGAAAACTTAGAAGTGTTAAGTCCCATGACTGTATTCAAAAAATGTAAATTGTTTAAGCATGATTGCTTGGATTTGCTATATAAAAACCCTAAGCTGAAAAATAAATTTGAGCAGTCCACCTAAAGAGGCTGGCTCCGTGTCTTCTTTGCCGACTCCAACCCTCACTCTCCGGGTCAACCCTGGTTTGCAGAGGCCGGACCCCTGCACTTATCTCAAAGCATTTTGTTGTGCTTAAAACATCTGGGAAAGGAGAGTCCCAATAATGACTCAAGAATAATTCGAGCTCTACAGATGTGATAATTGAGATCCTAAAATGTTGTTAATTTATAAATAAAATAATTAGAGATTTTCTATATACTGTAGGGAAGGAAATTCTAATTCTTCCTCAACCTTTGAGTTCTTAGGTGGTACCCCTACAATAAAATATTAACAAGAGGAAAAATAAGTTTATTAATATGAATGTCTGTGTATACACAGGAGATACCCACGAATAAATGAGTGACACCCATGGGTAGCTTTTATTAGAGGGGGAGGGAAGATGTATGTCTCTTAGGGAAGAGTAAGTGACTATTAGGAAAGATGAATGGGCCCTGAGAAGTGTGGGTAAGAGATATGATACTTAGTGACAAAGTTGGTCAGCCTATGGACTTCTAGTCCCCTCTCCTGTGACAAGAGTCAATCTTCCCTGGTTGAGGAAACTCACAAGGACAGAATTGATAACAACTGACTTCCTTTTGGGGGAATCTGTCTTCAGGCAGATAAGAGATCAGGGACAGCCTCTCCCTGCATTTGCTGTTTTTTAAGTGTCTCCAGCTCAAGATAATCAATATACCACAGAGACATATTGTGGTGGCAAGTTCTGAACACCTGCAGTCATATTTTTGGGGTGGCACATTCTGCTATCCTTCAACACCCGAGTCTAAGACTGCAGTTTATCAGTTCCTCCCCAACTGGCCCCTGAGGTTGAGGTTTTCTTTCACTTCTACAGAACACTTTTATTAATAGTAGGACCTGAATTAGCTGCTGAGCTGCCGAGCAGCAGCTCTGTGTTCAATCTCATTACCCATTTCTACTCATGGAACATTTAACACTGGGATGTCATAGTTGGGTGTGTAGCCTTGGAGTCTTATAAACACAATTTGCTGCACTGAATTTAATTTGGTAAATAATACAGCGAGCACCCAGTGAAGTCTACTATTGGCCTGGCACTGTCTTAGCCATGTTGAATAAGCCCTAAAGAATAGAATAATTTAAGGATTACCACTTGGAAGAAAAGAACTTCCCTTATATCCTTAATCATCAATTTTGATGGAAGAAACTGAATCCTTTTTGAAAAAAGTAACTAATTTAACATATTTATTTAGCTCCATTCAGGGGCAAGGTGCTAAGGAGGGTAAAATCAAGTCTCTACCTTTTAGAGATTTATTATGTTGTAGGCAAGATGCAATATATGGAAATTAATAGACAATTGAATTGATAACAACAGTTTATCCTGGCAGCATGTTTCTTCTTCCTCTTTCCAAAAAAGAAGAAATGGAAGCTCCATTTCTTCTTTGTTTTCCCTCCACAGCTGACCCTGCAGCGGACCCTGTTTCTACCACTCCCTCCATGGCTTAATATTTCACAATTCCTTTATATTTTTAGGGACTTATGTTAATATTATGAAAATTTTCCTCATCATTATACCCCTGGCATATAATTGTGCCTGATGCAAAGAATATGCTTAATACCTTTTTAATGAATGAAGAATTAAAACAAGATAACAGACCCGTAATGGAGACACTTACGCTAAGCTCCACATCACCACACTGACACTTATTTATAATTTTGGCTTTCCCAGAAATGGAATATTAAACCAGTAATCAGGAATCACCTGGTCAACAGTAATTAGATAATGCACTTGAAAACCCTTGTCATGCCCTAACGGAAAGTGACTTCGCCATAACTAATCTACCATTTTTATCTAATATAGCATCCTTGTTCTGGCTTCCTTCTGTAAGCATCTTTCATTTTGCACAACTCTGAGGTGCAGCTTTCTATCTACTAGATTGACTGTTTCCCAATTTATAAAGTACTGAATAAAGCCAGTAAGATCTTTAAATTTTACTGAGTTGAATTTTTGCTTTTTTAGTAGAAGGTAACAAATTTAAAAAGATTTACAAAACAATAGAAATAAGATGTAGCTGGGGCACCTGGGAAGCTCAGTGAATTGAGTATCCAACCTGAGCTCAGGTCATGATCTCACTGCTAGTGAGTATTATTCTGTCATAGGACTCTACTGACAGTGCAGAGCCTGCTTGGGAGATTCTCTCTTCTTATCTTTCTGCCTCTCCCCTGCTTGTGCTCTCTTTCTCTCTTGCTCCCTTCCCCTCCCCGCCCCCAAAAAGATAAATTTTTTAAAAATAGAGATTTTGTAGGAAAGAGGTGGGGCAAGAAAATTACTGGCAAAAGAAAAGATTGTTTCAAACAAGACCACCTTCCTTTATGAGGAAAGGAGATTTATTATAGGGCAGATTAATATTTTGATGGAATGGTTTTTAACACTACTATCAAAAGATTTTAGAAAAGGCAATGTGCAAATAAGTCCTACTCTGTCAATCTGTAGCTCTGTTTCTGTATCAGTATCCACAGTCAGTAGTTAAAGGAGTAGGATTCTTCACCAAAAATGACACAGACTCCAGCCCAGGCTAACTTCCTGGATGTTAGAACCTGTCAAATCTTCGAAAGTTCATACATCCCAAGAAATAAACAAAATAGAAAAAAAAATGCAAATTTTGAGATACCCAAATTGGGTTCAAAGGTTTACTCTTTCAAGTTAATAATATAGGAATACAGTACTCACATTATAGGATTATTATAAGGGTAGGATAGATGAAATGCAATATATTTTATTTTCACTTTCAATTACTTGTATTAAATTAATTTCATGTGTTTTATCCTCCTCTCTTGGACACTGGAGGGCAATACTTTTTGATAATTCAGAAAAAAAAGAATGTATTATTTACTGACTTATGTGTCTTAGTATGCTGGCTTTCCACATGCATTGTTTTATATTTTAGTAATCATGCGAGAAGGTAATTTTATGTCTATTTGATAGATGAGATACTGAGTTTCAGGGTGCGTTAGGTAAATTGTCCTGAGTTATATAGTGAACACATGGTAGAGGTGATTGAATCAAATAATGTTTTACTTGGTGTGTTTGGGTGCTCAAAAAGGCATCGGGAAAAGGGATTCAATTATTCAGGCCCAGTCCCTATCTTTAGTTTTCACTCAGAAACTCTTTTCTCTTTGATTTTATACTTACAAGTATATTCACCTCCTAGACCCAAGCTCAGGGATCAGCATAAAGAGACAACAGAGATAGAACAATAGACAGATCATAGGCTTAAAGGAAGAATTTGCATTTATAAAGATTTCGAGGCTAATTTCCACTTTATCTGCAAACTGTTTTTCTTCTTTGATTGTCTTGTTAACTAAGTAAATTGATAATCTAGAAGTTTGGTTTTTTTTTATGCACCTATTGGGCAATGAAGTATATTCTAGAATTGAGAACCTATTTTAAACTTTTGACTAAAAGTGTTAATCTGTTAAATGTCAAACTCTGTTTTCAGACTAGAAATCACAATGCATTTGACCATGGGGCGTGGCTTCAAAAGCCAAGTTTCCCTTATTTTGAGACTTGGGAAAGAATTTCTCTCCAGTCCTTACTAGTGTATTCTGGAGCCCAAACCAAGAAGAAATGCATTCGCATTTCTTTGGAAGTGAGCTCCAGCGCAAACTCGTTGGTATCGCTCACACACAAACAAGGATACTCTATTTACTCAGTAGGATCATTATAGCATATATATAGCTTTTTTTGCCCAAAGTTCTAAGGAGTTGGAAGGCAAAGAAATTAGAGTTCAGTGTTTAGAGTTGCTTAGGGGACAAAGCCCTAAATAAGCCCCTCCTGTTTGAAATAGAGAGCCAGAGCCGCCTGTTGCTTAGGTGTTTGTCATTGAGTGGAGATTTACTATCAGTTTAGAGAAAGGGGGAGGAACTAAAGTTGGCTCACAGATTCGCAGCTGGGTGGAGTTTAAGCAGAAGTGCCTGGAGTTTCTCACTCTGAGTTCCGACCTGTAAATCTGCAAGGAAACTTTGAGAGTTTTTCTTTTTCCTTCTCCTTCTTTCTTTCTTTTTTCTTTTCTTTTCTTTTTTTTTTTTTTTAGAGGAGGCAGGGAGCTGTGGATCCATCCCATCGTCGGAATCCTAGCTGGTAAGCACAGAGACACAGATAAAACACTGTACACAAATATAGAGTCAGTGATTGTTCCAGAGGAAAATTCTCTCTGCTAGAATCCTTGTTACAATGTGTCAGAGGTTTTTTTCTCTTATTTCCCCAAATTGTCGTCATAAATGTGACAGAGTCCGCTAATGCCCTCCTCTCGTTTAAAATGTTTGATTATATAAAGAGATTTTCACCAATGTAGTGAAAAAGAATTGCTGTCAATAGTATGGTGCAATTCATTTACTAAAAGATGATTATATTTGACAAATTAAAGTAATCCTGCAGTTACTTGAGTTTAAGTGGCAAGATTAGATAAAAGTTCACATCTTTAAATAAGCATGAGGTCCTCTGTTTTCTGGTAATTCTAGTTGTCTTGTGGTGCTATTAGTCATATTAAATATTTATCTGGGGAAGTGAAAATGTCTATTTCATGAGCAGGGTTTCTTCCCCTTTCATTTTATGAAAGATTTGCCTAAGAATGGAGAGTTAATATACTTTTTTTTAAATAAGTAGTTTTTTTTTTTTCTTTCCTGCTTTATTTTGACAGGGGTGGGATTTTTTTTTTTTTTTTTTTTTTGGTAGTAACATTGAAGCAAATGCATTGGTCTTAATAATGTGAAACTCAACATGTAGCTCATATTCCTTGATATGAAACTCAGTTGTGACAATGTCATTCATTTCTCAAACAATGATACATTTAAAGAACATTGCTCTGTGCGCATATATTAAACAATAATTTATTTCTTTTTCAATGAAATGCCATGCGCTTTCTTTATAATTTGCTTTGTCAGGTTCTAAACTTTGAACTCATGTGCTTAATTGGCTCATTTCAGGCATGAAAACTGAAGCTGTGTAAAGATTAACCACTGAGTATTCAATAGTCATTTATTTAACTATTTAAGCTTAGTCCTGTGGGTGACTGTAAGATCCTGAATTCCATGACTCCCTAAAAACAATCAACTTTTTTTTATTTAAAAAATGTTTTTAATGTTGTATTTATTCCTGAGAGCAGAGAGAGACTGAGCATGAGTTGGTAGGGGCAGAGAAAGAGACCTAGAATCTGAAGCAGGCTCCGGACTCTGAGCTGTCAGCACAGAGCCCTATGTGGGACTCGAACCCACGAACTGTGAGATCATGACCTGAGCCAGTCAGACACCTGACTGAGCCACCCAGTGCCCCCAAACAATCATTTTTCATAAAAGTTTGAGCTTTAAAGTTGTAGCTGTCTAAATAAAATTGACAAAACACAGTTTTTAAAATTTCAAAAGCTAACATGAGGTTAAAATGGCAATTTTCATCACAGGGCGTTAATATTTAAAGATAACACGAGCATACTTTTTATCTCTTTATAAAGGAACTTACCAAATTAATTTCATTTGATCCTAACCATGATCCTCCAAAGAAAGTAGAACTGAAATTAGTTTTATATAACATTTCAGAACAGAAAAGTTAGGTGGCTCGCCTAATACCAAATGTGTATATAATACACATTCCACCTTCTTAATAAAATTAATATTAAATATGTGACATACACAATTTGTAGTTTTTAACTTGGATTAAATTTTTTGATTTCACAATAAGGGCTTGACAGTTTACCTGAAAATGCTAAACCCACATAAGGCATCAAATTATGGCTTGTGAAGCACTAATTGTCTTAGATGGCAGAATGAATGCAGACTGAAGCAGCAATTAATATGAGTTAATAAATCGCTTCCTTGGAGTGAGGGCACTGTGGTATTATGGGCACTGAAGACTGTATTAGCCTCTGGTGACGGCTGTGCCTGAGAGGCCAGGTGTGTTCTCTCAGAAAGACTATTTTGCCAGCAGGTATCTCACTGTCAGTTCAGGTGAGGTTGTGACATCTGCCTGACCAGGACTGTATTGGAAGAACTGATTAAAAAGAGTAGATAGATTCATTGCCTTCGGTATTTTGCAGACTGAGTACAGGGCTGAAAAAAATCATGAAGGGGTAGAAAAAAGGGATCAGCCAAAGAGACATTTTTCAAAAATCATAAAACAAGATGAAAGGAAAAATAAATTGAGAGGGCCAGGAATTCTGCTCTGTATGTTCTACCCGCAGAGTTTTATTTGACTGAGTTCCTCAAGTGAAGTAGAGTCCCAAACAGAGAGCTTTGTTACCCTAATACCTTTTTATTTCTACTCTGTTGATTCCAGAGTTTGGTCTGGAAATGGGAGGAAGTTATTCTGATCCCTCAGGATTGTTACAGGGATTAAATAAGAAACAAATATAAACAAGCTAATGAATGAATATGAATATCTATTTTAATAAAGAAAGTTGGATTTTACTGGGAATATAATGGTAGCAAACTAATCTGTATATTTATTTAGGTAACCTAGTTAGAGTTTACAGTCAGCCCCAATGAACCTTCCAAATGCTTACTTGGGGCACCTGGGTGGCTCAGTCAGTTAAGCATCGACTTCGGCTCAGGTCATGATCTCACAGCTCATGGGTTCAAACCCTGCATTGGACTCTGTGCTGACAGCGTAGAGCCTGGAGCCTGGTTTGGATTCTGTGTTTCCCTCTCTCTCTGCCCCTCCCCCTCTCACACTCAGTCTCTGTTTTTTCAAAAGTAAAACATCAAAAAAATTAAAAATAAATAAAAAGGAGCACTGACTCTCCAAAGACATTCCTAAATATAAGGCAAGCTCTCTTGATTCTTAGTCTCATTGAAAGTGTTTTTAACTTCCATATGGTTGGAATAAGAATGGTATCCTCTGTGAACAGTCATTAATCATGTGAAATAATTCAAGCTATTTTGTGCATTCTTGTTCAACTGCTGTTTTAGGGGAACACTCTATCTAAAAGTCACTGCTAAGGAATGGAATGGCTACAAAGATAAATTAAACAAGATTCAGGCCCCCAGGTAGAATACAGTTTAGTAGGGTAGACCAGCAACTCAATCAAGCCATGGTAAGTAATAGGTTTATAGTAAAGACACACTTGATAGGCAGAAAATAACTTCTGGGATTTTTAGAACCAAGTAGGTGGCCCTCCAGACCTTACACATAATTTGTTGCATGGAAGGATTTGGTGACTCTCCAGACTGGCCTGTCCTGGACCTTTCAGGGGACATGGCTATTCCATCACCTGTTGTTGCATAACTAAGTTGATTCTTACTTGCTATTGAAATCACTTCATACTTTAGCAACCAGTGGCTCTGTTTAACTTTAAAAAAATGAGTCACTCCTGACAGTACTCCTTCTACACCCAACCATTTTATCATTGCTTTCTATGATTTTTTAAATTTTTGCTCCTATTTCTAACTGCATAAATAATTGTATCTCCTATCTCCAGTTCCTGCAAGAATTTGATTAGATGCCCAGCTAAATATCATCATGCCTGTTTGGCTAAAGCATTCACAGCAAGTCCCTCGCAGACCACTGAAAGAACAGCTACATTGTCTCCCGTGGGTCAAGTGTCCTGTAGGGGTCTAATCCAGTGTGCAACCAGGCAGTTGGTAATGTCAAGTGGTAGAGGCACAGTTGTCTCTTGTCAAAAGGCAGGTTATTTCATCAGAAGGCAATAAGGAGGAATCCATGTGGAATCAAGTTGTAGGCATGGAAACCCGTTTAAGCTTTCCCAAACATGTATGCATCTAAATAATTATAGTGTCTGACAATATGCATTACTTATCAATTAAGATGTGCTCTTAAGTGTTACATGTATCCAAAGGAAAAAAACCTACATTTAGCTGGGACAGCATGACAAGACTTCTAGGGTAAAAAAAGTAACATTGGAACTAGGCCTTTGAAGGTGACTCGGATATGAAATGTGTATGAAGGGAAGTAGAGCATTTTATTTTACTATCTTATTTTATTTTATTTTATTTTATATTTTTATTTATTTCTAGGATAGAGAGAGACAGCGTGAACAGGGGAGGGTCAGAGAGAGAGGGAGTCACAGACTCTGAAACAGGCTCCAGGCTCTGAGCTGGCAGTCAGCACAGAGCCCGACGCGGGGCTCGAACCCACAAACCACAAGATCATGACCCAAGTGAAAGTCAGACGCTCAACAGACTAAGCCACCCAGTCGCCCCAGTATCTTATTTTATTTTTAATGTTTATTTTTGAGAGACAGAGAGACCGAGTGCAGGCAAGGGTGGGGCAGAGAGAGAGGAGACACAGAACCCAAAGCTGGCTCCAGACTCTGAGTTGTCAGCACAGAGCCTGATGCGGGGCTGGAACTCATGAACTGTGAGATCATGACCTGAGCTGAAGTCAGATGCTTAACTGACTGAGCCACCCAGGTGCCCCAGGAAGTACAGCATTTTAGGCAAAGGGAAGGACGTGAGAATGACATGAAAAATCACACAGAAAAGTTCATGAAAAAGACAATAATTTAGTATGGTCACATATTGACAGAACAATCAACACCAATGTTGAAATCACTGACTTTTGTACAAGCATGGACTGGAGCAATTTGTAATCATTATTGACATCAAAGCTAAGAACATTTTCATATCAAGATCAGTATCCTTCTTTGAGAATATACAGAACAGCTCATCAGGGAGACCACTCAGTTGAGAAACGAAGAGCTCAAATAAATAAGCAGAAGAATTTAAGTTTAGAGAACAGGAAGTATGCTTGTTTTACTGACATTGTACAACATTCAGACATGTTTATTGCCTAACACTGGGGGTGTTGGTTAGGGTGGGAGAAGAAAGTGTGATGAGTAAAAGACAGATGATTGAATTGAGATTTGAGAGCCTCCTCTCTGTTAGTTTTAGTTGGTTCTTAGGATTTCTAGGCTATAAGTATAGTCTATGAGTTGAAAAACATCAAGCTTATATCTTGTGATGTAATTTTCTTCTGAGCTATAGAACGTAACATCCAATGTCCAGTTTGATATTTCTACTTCAAACTTCATGTGCCCTACATAGAACTTTGATTTCTCTCTTCAAAATTTTTCTTCCCTGGGTGTTTCTTATTTCACCACTTCCAACATATTTGCCCAGATCCCACACCAGAGAAAAATCTATTTGCATTTTCTCCAAAATATATACTGAATCCACACTTTTCTCTACTCTTCGTCACAGTTAATCCATCATCACTTTCCCCCTGAACTACTAAAATAGCCTTACTTTGCCTCTCTTTTTCAAGTCTTCTAATTCATCAGAGAGCAGAAAAAGTGATTTTTATTTTGTGCAAAATTATATCATATCATTTTCCTACCTCAAGTCTCTCCAATAATTTCCCATTAAACTTAGAAGAATATTCAAACTCCATTCTAGCTTCAAGGTTCTTCATAATTAACTTCTGCCTCTGCCTCTTTTACCTCATAGTCTCTCGTTCTGACTGCTTCCCTTAGTGCATTAGCTGAACAGGCCAAGACTGTCTCCACCACAGGATCTGTGTACTTGCAGACATCTTCTCTAGTTCTTGGTCCTCACATGTTTGACTCCATAACATGACTCAGATATGCATGTATATCCCTGCCTCAGAGAGATGCACTTACCTGACCCTCTCCCTGAGGAAGCCATTCCATACCTCAATGACTCTTTTTCCCATTACTCTGCTCTGTTTACTCCTAGCTGTTGAAAGGATCTGAAATTACATGTTTTAAAATTATGTTTTCATTTTCCACTAAAAATTTGTTACTTATACACCATCTTTTTCACTGTTCTATCAGTGCTCTGAACTACATGGTTGATGTTCAAAAAGTACTAGTTGAAAGGTAAGTAAATGGAGGCATGTATAAGTGGAGCAACAGAAGTATAAACTTGTAAATCAAGCTCTATTTTTTTTTCTCTGATACTATTCTTGCTCAATTTCAAAGAAACCTAAACCTTTGGGAAATATAAATAAATCGATACAAAGAAAACTTGGGTAAAGTTTAAGAATATATATAGTTAAATTTCCATTGTTATTTTTCCCCTCCAGAAAATTGAGCTTTCTTTCCAAAATTGTGGGAAATTTAAATGATGATTACACAGAGCAGGATGTGGTTTCACAAAATATCACAGGGCCCTGTTTTCTTCTAAGATGGAATTTATAGTTATGTGAGAGAAGTTTCTCGTTATGAGCGGCAGGAACAGCTCTTTGGTCTTCCTATGGCAAAAATCAACATTACTTAAGGTAAACTTACCTTTTTCATTCACAATAAAAACTTTATTAAGGTTTTATTGCATATATGTCCCTAATTTTAAAACTATGATATAAGGGGCACCTGGATGACTCAGTAAGTGTCTGACTTCAGCTCAGGTCATGATCTCCCAGTATGTGAGTTCGAGCCCCATGTGGGGTTCTGTGCTGATAGCTTGGAGCCTGGAGCCTGCTTCAGATACTGTATCTCCCTCTCTCTCTGCCCTTCCCCCTCCCCAACTCACGCTTAGTCTCTTTCTCTCAAAAATAAATAAACATTAAAAAATTTAAAAAAAATTAATGTCTATTTATTTATTTTGTGTGTGTGAGAGAGAGAAAGAGTGTGAGCAGGAGAGGGTCAGAGAGAAGGAGACACAGAATCCAAAGCAGGCTCTCGGCTCTGAGCTTTTAGCAGAAGAGCCCAATGCAGGGCTTGAACTCACGAATCACGAGATCATGACCTGAGCCCAAGTCGGTTGCTTAACCAAGTGAGCCACCCAGGCTCCGCCAAAAGAGTTTTCTTTTTTTTTTTTTTTAAATATATGATCCAAGAACCTTTGGGAGTAAAATCAAAATGGGATAGGGAGAAGGACAAGCTAGATGGAGTACTGTTTCTCTACACTTCTCACAAAAGCATTTTTTTTAAGTTTATTTATTTCGAGACAAAAAGAGAGAGAGAGTGAGCTGTGTGCATGCATGTGAACAGAGGAAGGGCAGAAGGAGAGAGGGAGCAAGAGAATCCGGGATCTAAGATACCAGCACAAAGAACCATGCAGGGCTCGGTCTTACCAGCCATGAGCTCATGACCTGAGTCCGAGTCAAGAGTCCATTGCTTAATGGACTGAGCCACCTTGGTGCCCCACAAAAGCATCTTTACTGTTACCCCAGTAAGACATCTAGAGGAAAAGGTGATTAAGTTATATATGTTTGAAAGTCACTAATTTGGACCATTACCCAGAAAATAAAAGTGAAAAGGGCTAACATTTATTGAAACCATATACCCTTTCCTGACTACCACTGCCTAATTTATTCCTTTCAACATCCCTAAGTTACTGTCATTTTCTTTATTTCATCCATGAGAAAAACTCAAGCATGAGGTTTAATGCTGTTAGGTTAATTAAAATTATTCTGAGGTTGGAAATGTGAGAATGTTATTTAAGACAAGATTCTTGGGACACTTCGGTGGCTCAGTCGGTTAAGTGACCGACTCTTGATTTCTCCTCAGGTCATAATCTCATGGTTTCATGGTTTTGTGAGTTTGAGCCTGGTATGGGGCTTTGTATGCTGATCATGCTTGAAATCTGCTCAGGATTCTCTCTCTCCCTCTCTGCCCCATCCCAGCTTGTACTCTCTCTGTCTCCCTCAAAAGAAATGAACTTAAAAAAAAAAAAAGAAAGAAAAGACATCAGGCGACTGGATGGCTCAGCTGGTTAAATGTCCAACTTCAGTGCAGGTCATGACCTCACGGTTCGTGGGGTGAGTCCCACATCAGGCTCTGTGCTGACAGAAAGCCTGGAGCCTGCCTCTGATTCTGTGTCCCCCCTCTCTGTGCCTCCCCTGATTGCACTCTGTCTCTCTCTCAAAAATAAATAAACATTAAAAAAATTTAAAAAAAAAGACAAAACATTATTACTTAAAAGGCTAATTTTCTACAGGAAAAAAAAATGATGGTAGCTAAATTATTTTTAATTATTTTTCTTCACTTTTAGAGAAACAACTTGTAATGGAGCCTTCACCTCTTGAGTTACCAGCTGAGACACTTCAACGCATCGCATCTGAACTTAGATGTCACCCGGCAGATGAGAAGGTTGCCCTCCATCTTGATGAGGAAGATAAGCTGAGGCACTTCAGGGAGCATTTTCATATCCCCAAAATGCAGGATCTACCTAAAAGTAAGAACACTGAAAAGGATTCTATTTTTCTTAATTAATTTATTAATTTATTTTTGCCACTGCATGTGTTTATCATAAATCTTTGAAATCGTTGTTCTCTTACATAATAGAGCCATTATAATTACCTCTGAAAAACAGAAAGTTCCTGATACTACTAAATCAGCCTGTCAGCCAACCTTAGCCTCAGATTCTTTATGTTCCTTTTCTTCTTCTGAATAAAATACTTACAGGGTTTTTATACTGTCATCTACTTCTCTTAACAATAGAGTGACTGACTGAAAATTATAGGCAGACGCATTTACTTATTCTCTAAGCACTTAGAGCTCAAAACAATTTCTTTTCAATACAGTATTAGAATATCTCTTATTTGTGGCACCTAGTTTATGATAGCATGATATTAGTCTTAGAGGAAATATTATTTTGGGATTTGGGTATATTAAGATGATATTATGTGAAGAACCATCTTTGTGTGCTGTGAGTAAAGATGGCATGTATAAGAATTACCAAAAAAAAGAAACATCAGTGACTAAGAAATGCATACTGCATTTTATTTTCTTTTAAAAAATATGGTAAGCTGATTCTGTTTTTGGTTTGAGGATATCCTATTTTTAAAAAATAGGCAGTACAAGTATAAAAATAAGACATTTTTAAAATATTTGACTTTGTTCAGTTTTACAGGTTGAATAGAAGCAATCTGTCACAATGGTTTTCAGATTCTTTATAATAAAATTTAATTTTCAGTTTTCTATAGATAAAGTGAGGCAGTATACTCATAATCCAAAAACATCAGCTAATATGATTCTAGGATGAGATTGGGTCACAAAGCTGTCTTGGGTCACATTGGCTGTCTTACTTGGCTTATATGTTGTTATGTAACAAAGGAAAGCACCCTGTGGAATTATAGAAGGATGAAATAAGAGGAAGCATTATATCCAATTTAAAGTTGCTTAATATCAATTGAGGAAGACGTTGGTACAAATGACAACTTTGTGAAACCTGATAAAATGGGTTAAGTGAAGGGAACTGACATCAAAGGAAAAAAGTAGATATTTCTGGAATCTAGTTTGAAAGAGCATTTTGATTTAAAAGTTAAGGGATGAAAAGAACTTTATGTGTGAAAAATGAGGAAGTTAAGTCTAGGGATATTCTTTCAGTGCTGTGAGAGAAGGTTGCCTGGTGACATGCAGCACAGAGGGTGCAAGTCCTCTGAAATCCCCATGACCCACCTGAGACAAGTCAGCTCTCGTGACCCTGCCCCAATGTGCTCTCCAACCTGTGGGCTGCCTGGGTGGTTTGATGGGCTCCGACATCAGAGATGACAGTAGAAGCCTGGAGGACCACAAAGCTTTAGGTGGCCTTCTCAGTGTGCAGCAAGAACTATAAATCAAGAATTAGGACTCTAGAACTTTTTTTTTTTGGTATTTATTTATGTATTCAGAGAGAGAGAAAGAGAGAGAGGAGAGAGAGGGAGAGCATGTGTAAGCTGGGAAGGAGCCAAGAGAGAGAATTCCAAGCAGGCTCCATGCTGTCAGCACAGAGCCAGACACAAGGCTCGAACTCACAGACCATTAGATCATGACCTGAGCTGAAATCAAGAGTTAGAAACTTAACCGACAGAGCCACCCAGGTGCCCCAGGGCTCTAGAACTTTATGACATAGAAAGTTGTCATTTCCTCAAGATTCAAAAAAATTATTCCTATTCATGAATGGAAAAGCAGACATAGCACAGTAAGCAAACAAAAATACGAACAAAATATATTTAGTGAAAACAAATGATGGTATTACAGAGAGAAGGGAGAACATAGAGAAGCATTGGGGAGAGAAAGTGGCCAGTGGTCTAGTATGGCTGCCGTTTGGGCTGTCTTGGGGAATGAGGCTACACAATGGCCACATCTAGATACACATTTATAAGCAATGACTACTTCCTGCACATGGGAAGTGATGCATTAGGGAGTTTGGTTGCCTTGTCTGTCTTTTCTTAAGATGGCTTTCTTCTATATAAAACCATTAGAAATTTGCGGTAGGACTCAACTCTGAATTTCTAAAAATAAGACTGTTGAAAAGAAGGGGTACATGGAAAGTTAAAACGATTTTGAATGCATCACTTTTTCTGTTACTAAACCTAAGATTCATTGACTAACACGATTGTCAGCCCCATGCTGAATCACTTTTATTCAACAAAATATTTATTAGTTACCTTTTCACATTCCCCTCTGGGCCTTGAAACTTGCTTTCTACACCACCTCTCCCAGCTCAATGGATTTGAGACACAATTAACAAAACTCATAGTGTCTGTCCTGGGAGGCATTGTAGTCTTGAGATTTTGGTGGCTTCCTGCTCTAACTCTAGCTAGAGTGAGTTTGAGAAACAAAGTAGCCTCTCAGAGCAAAAGTTCCTCTATGTGGAAAAGACAAAAGACAAATACTGTTCCAAAATGTATAGGGACTTTCTGAGCATCAAAATTAGATTATATTAAGTGAGCCTAGGACAGGGCCAGGATATTAGGTTCCATGCCCCTTTAACAGAATGTTTTTTTACTTTAATAAGGATTTTTAATACTAGATCAAGACAAGACTCTTCTACTAAGCTTTGATATAATTTAATTGGAACCCAGATAAAGATAGCATCATATATCTAGTCACTTACCCAGACTTAAGAGTTGACTCTAGTATCCTTATTATAGTTATAACATTTGTTTTAATTAGATATCAATAGGAAATAACATAAAAAATTACAATCTGAGATAAATTAATCCTGATTCCTTAAGAAATGTAAAGAGAAGGAAAATGAATCGATTCAATAAAGAATATGAACAATTTATTTGTTCAAAAAATACAATTTTGAATAATGCAAAAATTTACTTCATTAACCCTAAAAGTTCTTCTAAATTCATTATTGTCAAAGTACATGGTTTCCTGACCAGCTACAAGAGGATCACCAGGAAATTTACTAGAATATGCAAGTTCTTGGGTCCCAAACCAGAATTACTAAATCAGAGTCTCTGAGGGGAGCCCACTCCTCTGTTCTAGATCTCTTAGGATGGTGCCGCAGAGAGGTGAATTCAGTTTATTCTTGTTTTCACCATACTACCTCTAGGTGCTTCTTACTTGCTAAAAGTTCATTCTTTCAACAAACATTTATTAAGCCCTTACTCCGGCCAAGATACTATTCTCAGAATAGTTTATCAGTGAACTAAAGAGCAAAGGTGTGCTCAAAGTGTTTGGAGGGCTAACAGATACCCATAATCATCTGGGAAGAAAACCCTGATGAGATGACACCAGAGCAGAGACCAGAATGAAGTGAGGAAGTGAGCCTTCTGATTAGAGGGGTCAAGATGAGCCCAGGGGACAAGGTACACCAGACTCAGAGGCAGATGGTGTTCATATTTCTTTCCTTTTCCTTTTTTTTTTTTTTTTTATGTTTTATTTATTTCTGAGAGAAAGAGACAGCGTGAGCAGGGGAGGGTCAGAGAGAGAGGGAAACAGAATCTGAAACAGGCTCCAGGCTCTGAGCTGGCTGTCAGCACAGAGCCTGATGCCAGGCTCGAACCCACAAACCATGAGATCATGACCTGAGCTGAAGTCAGAAACTTAACCGACTGAGCCACCCAGGCGCCCCTTTCTTTTCTTTTTCTGACAAATAAGAATTCATCAAAAAATTAGTACTTGTCTCTTAGTAAAACCTTCCAAGAACATCTGAAAATGATAATGCTTCTCGATAGCACTAAGACACTAAGAACAAATGTTTGTTAGTATCTCTGAATAATGAAAAACAAGAACAGGGGTGCCTGGGTGGCTTAGTCGGTTAAGCGTCCGACTTTCACTTAGGTCATGATCTCGCGGTTCGTGGGTTCAAGCCCTGCATCGGGCTCTGTGCTGACTGCCAGCTCAGAGCCTGGAGCCTGTTTCAGAGTCTGTGACTCCCTCTCTCTCTGACCCTCCCCTGCTCACGCTGTCTCTCTCTCTCTCTCTCCTAGAAATAAAACATTTAAAAAAAAGAAAAAAAAAACAAGAACATAAACAAATTTTGAACAAATAAAAAGGATCACAACTCCCAATGTAGGCTTAAAAAATTCCAACGAAAGGCTGTATGCACAGCTTGTGGCTTCTGGTATTTTGCCATTCCATGTGATGTTTGCTCAGGGTTTCTAAGAGAAAGTTTTGTCAAAATACATACAGGTTTTATTTTTCTTTTCCTAGATGGTTCTTTAGACATTGTTAGAGAAAAGGGTCAAAATTATTTTTACTGAGCTGATGTTGCACTTATGTTCAAAGTTATCCTAAAGACCAAACCCTCAAAATAAAACATGCACACATACATGCACACACAAGCTCACACACGCTCACACACGCTCACACATGCTCACACACGCTCACACATACACTTATCAAGAAAAAGAAAGGAAGGAAGACATGCAAGGCATAAATATTGGAAAGACTTGTCTAAATATCTTGAAATTATTCCTGTTTGAAATATCCTTGTTTCTAAATCTCTGAGAGGATACTGGATACTTCCATAAGATATATTGTTATTTTCAGAGATACAACACAAAGTTTTTATGACCTACCTATCAACATACCAAACTGACGTCCACATTTACATTTACATTTCCTCCAGAAATAAAATCATTTGTGTCATAGATATCTTTGCTTATTCAAAGAAGGAAAATCAAAAATTGTTACTTCCTTGTTTGAATTTGCATATCTTGGACCAGTGTTTGAAATTTGTATTAACTCCTTGGCCATTTGCTTTTTTTAAAAAGTTGTAATTTTTTCTTCATGTATAAGATTTATTGCTTCTAGGTATTTTATTTTTTAATTGATTTGAAATTTTTTTAAGTCTTAGTTATATTAACAGCTTGTTCTCTGTAAGGAATTTTAAATGAATTTGCCCAGTCCATGTAGCTGGACGATATAACCAGAAATGAATCCCAAATTTTGAGACGACTTCTCCAGTTGTCTTGACTTAGAGTTATTCCTTTTTAAAAGATTACTCTAGGG